GTTGGAGGTGACCACAAGGAAAAGGGAAAGCGAATGACTGATTGTGGTGCAGTCGGACTTCACCTGCATTGTTGACATGCCAACCATTTTTACTTTGCTGTTCAAAAGTTTATTTCAATACTTTGTTCATGGATTTGGCAATGTGTATAGGGTTTTGTAAGACAAAATCTCCTAAAATCCCATCATGGAGCAAGACTATCTCAAATAAAACACACACACACACACATACACACACACACATATTTATACACACACACACATTGACTCACATACACACACATATTTATACACACACACATACACACATATATTTATATACACACACACATACACACACACACTCAGGGCAACTATATACACACACACATGCACATACACACAAACACACACACACACACACACACACACACAGGGCAACCATAAGTTCATTCTCTATACCTGTGAGTCTGTTTCTGTTTTGTAAATTAATTTGTACCATTTCTTCTTAGATTCCAATATAAGGGATGCCATATGATATTTCTCCTCCTCTGTCTGACTTTCTTCACTCAGTATGACAATCTCCAGGTCCATTCATGTTGCTGCAAATGCCATTATTTCATCCTTTTTAATTCATCTTACAGAATAAGGGATGTGGAAAGTAATTGGAAATATGCAAAACGTGTGATTTATTTGCATGAAGAACATTCCTTTTCATTTTTGTTTAAGGAAAGGATTTGCCAGTGAAGTATATTTAAGTGACCACTAAATGCCTTCAGTTAAAAAAGCAAAAAAAACAGAACACTGAAGAGTGTGAAGATACCTGGCAGAGATTTTACCACATAAAATTATAAATGCTCATACATTCTGCACAAATAATTGTATACACATATGACATATTTAAGGGTGAATGCAATCTTGATGATAATAAGCCAGTTCCTAGTTTGAAAGAATACAACAAATTAAGGAGCAAAATGATGATGAATTTCCTATTGAAAGCAAACGACTTTAACAGTCAGTTTTAAATGAGGAAGTAACGGACTGATGAATCTACACATATATTCAATCTTATTGGTAATGAAATAATTACAGAGTAAGCTTGTTGGCACACTCATTTCCACAAAATAAAAGCTTTTTAATTTTAATATTAAGAGGCAGGAGATACTGTGAAATGTGTGTCTCCTGAACTGCTGTTGAAGGAAAATGTTTGCTAGCATTCCTTGATCTGAATTTACTCATTATAGCAAAATATACTTCTTCTTAGAAAAACATCCTATATCACTGTACATCTCCCCATAGCTCGTACCCTATATCTCTACTTCAGTTAATTGCAAATGTCCTTGTACTTATGAACATAAGTACTTTTACTGAAAGCACTTTGTACCTCTCCTTCAGTCTTCTAACTGGGCTTCCATGTCCATCATTTAATGGTCAATGTTGACCCTTGTATTGCTGAGTTCAGTATTCACTTCTATTTTCAGCATCATGAAATAATCCATTAATCAGTCAAGACAATAAATAACTGCAATAATCATGGCTCTGTGTTTAGTCTACATTGGTGCTCAGGTGAATTCAGGTCAATATTCTTGGCTGTCATGCCTTCTGACCTTCTCTTATAGTATTTACTGGGCTCTTGGACTCACCTGGGTGGAGTTTCTGACAGCAAGGTCTCAACATATGTATCACAACTCCCCTTGGATGGCTGGTGATGGAGACAGAGGCTCTGTCTACAGACTAGATTGTGGAGTCAGGCATAGGTCCCCAAAATAGAGTTTTGACTTTGCAAGCACCAACCATGCCCCAATCTAGTCCAAGGTTGCACAGCCTGAGGCACTGCAGCACAAGAAATGTTTGTGGCTCCTTATGTCTGCTAGTTAGCGTGTTTCCCTTCTGTAACTAGAGCCTCTAATAATTGATTTCCCTGTGGGACAGGGGTCTGGACAGAGAGGAAAAGTTTCCTGCTCATACTCTGTGTCTGGGATTCAATGTTACAAGCCAGATGAAATCAGTATTCAGTGTTTATTACTTCTTTACTAAATCCACATGTCTTCCAGAGGGATAAACCTTAAGATCCCAACACTTCACCCCATCCCTGAGTTCAGGTTTTCTCACAGGGTCTCAGCTTGAAGATTCTGTCTTGGTTAGATCACCAATCAAGGCACTGACTTCACTCCTGGTGAACCATAGACTTTTGATTCTAGAGAAAATTAGCATCCTCATCTTCAAAAGTGGGATAACTTTGATCCTTGAATATAAAACTTTGGGCAGTGTAGTGCTTGGATTTATGAGAGTTTTGCCAAAGCAGTTAGGAGCATCATACTTACACCAACAATTGAGAGCTGCCAGTTAGTCCCTCATTAGAAAACTGTTCTAAGAAGTGTATCGATTTGAGGACCATATAGGGACTGCATAACTTAATTTTTAGAAAACTTCATTCTATAAGGTGATACTACTCTAAACTCCATTCTCATTGCAGAAATGGGCTCATGGAAGTTAGTGATCTTCACATTATAATCTGAATAAGGCAAGGGACTTTTTCTGGATTTCTCTCATGTTGTTTCCGGTTTTCCAACTCTGGTCCAGTGGTTCTCAGAGATGCCTTTGCCATGTGTGATATTTGGTCACATTGAAGGGATGCTGCCAAACATCTACAATGCCCAGGACAACACCCAGCACAAAGAATGCTCCTGCTACAAAAGTTCAACAGTGAGAAATGAGTAAACCTATTTTAGACCAGGATTTTCCCCTCATCACTGTTTGCATACCGGTCACCCAGACACTAGTTCATGTGCAGTTTCTGATCAACAGGTCTTGCCTGGTGAGTCAAGAGATTCCTGGATGGTGTTCCTGGTGCAGGTACTGCACTGTGGCCATTTTTGAGTAAGCAAGGCTGTGGTTGTATTTTAGAAATTTGCATGTAGTTTTATAGTTTCTCCACTCCAAATTGTCTTGACCTGAGCTTTTGAATGAAAAGTGTGAGCATTCACTCCAGATGTGTGATCAGTTCTATTTCTTTTTAAATACAAGGACCCATGTATCACACTAAATAATTTACTTCTGAAAAGTCTGAAATGTTATTTTTCAGAGAAGATCTACGTGTATATATATATATATACACACACACACTCATTTATATCTGACTCTTTAAACCCCATGGGCTGTAGCCTGGCAGGCTCCTTTGTCCATGGAGTTTTCCAGGCAAGAATACTAGAGCGGGTAGCCATTCCCTCCTCCAGGGCATCTTCCTGACTCAGGGATCAAACCTGCATCTCCTGCATTGTCAGGCAGATCTTTACCACTGAGCCATCATGGAAGCCCAAAAGTCCTTGAATTTGTTTTATGGCTAAGCTATTATTACTATGTCTTACCTAACTGCTTTCCCTTGATTCTGCATTTTCACAGGTCAGTGATTAAATCTGCTCTTTGGATCTCAGGGAAGACCTAACTAAACTTTTCAACACACAAGGTGAAGGAGACACAGGAGGGTCTACCTCTAGGAAGACCCCACAAGGTCCAGCTCAGTTTCACTACAACTAAGTGATAGAATAATAAAGTTGAATTGAATTGAAGGTAATTGTAATAGTCTCATTCTGCTTGTTTGAAGCATTTGTTTTAATACATGAAGATAACTGTCATGACTACTCTGCTAGTCACCTTTATTTTATATAAAATGTGAAATAAAAAAATGAAACAGTGACTTCATTGGTATCCCTTTGAGGTCATGTGGAGAGGGTGGACTAATATGTATGTTTGCACAAAAGGATTCCAAGCTTTCCAGGGACTCATCCTTTAATTATGAGGATGATATATAATGGTTGACATTAAGACCATACATTCTGTACTCTTTAGTGATTTTGAGAACATTCTGAGGAGTGGAAGTTATTTCATTTTGAGGAATGGAAGGAATCATATTTTGTGAAGGCAGTGGAAATTTCAAACAGACACAAGACAATAATTTAATAAAAACCAAAACATGCCTAGAGTCCTTCAGCTCAATGAATACACCTTATAAATGAATGCTGACAGTCCGCATGTTAAGGAGTACATGAGCTGCCTGAGACATGCATCTTTCTCACAGATTTAATATGTGTTTCACCACACTTAGGTTTAGCCCTACTGTAGGGCCTGTGTGCTCAGTGCCTCTATCATGTCCTTCTCTTTGTGACCCTATGGACCTAACCCGCCAGGCTCTACGGTCCATGGGGTTTTCAAGGTAAGAATATTGGACTGTGTTGCCATTTACTTCTCCAGAGGATCTTCCAGACCCTGGAATCAAACCCGCATCTCATCTCCTGCATTGGCAGGTGGGTTCTTTATAGCTAGCATCACGTGGAAGGTCCACACTAAAGCCATACTATATATATTTATTTCTTTATAGATGACTTCAGAGTAGATTCCACTTGGAAATGTATTTTATTGCCAATGACTAATTGCTAATGACTGTGGTAGACCAAGTGGACACAAGGCTGTACAAAGACCAAGAGTCTAGTGAGTAAAATACCCTTGACTAGTGACAACAAGCAGTGTGTTAAGTTTGAATTACCAAAGAGAACATTAAGGTAGTGATATGTAAGGATCGATTTTCACAAAAGTGAGAAACCATGGTCTCAGATTCTCTTGCCAAGAAGTATTTTCCCAACTTATGGGAATAGTGCATCTCATAACAATTTCTTTTAGTCACACAAAATGAAAAAAAATACTCAGTATGGCCTATTTTATTTTACAGGAAATGATTATTAAGTGGTCCATGTAGACTCCTGAAATAAATATGTGTATTTTCAAATATTTCACCTCCAAGATTGGAAATGTAATTGGGAGAGTAGGAAAATGAAAAAGGGAAAAAATCAAGGATATCAGAAACATCACAAAATACATAAGCTGTAGAAATTAAAAATAAAAATAGAAATGCCAAAGAAAATAGAAGAGGCAATGCTCTACTTCCACATTTTGATCAAAGACTGACAATATTAACCTCAGGCTTTGAGTTCTGCTATTATGGACCCTAGGACAATAGGGCATTTTACAGTCACCTTTTCAAAGAGTATTTTCAGACCCCTCTTTAAGTCTTTATTTCTCAGGCTGTAGATGAAGGGGTTCAGCATGGGTGTGACCACAGTGTACATCACCGAGGCTCTTGCACTTGAGTGTGAGCTGTGGGTAACAGCAGAGCTAAGGTACACTCCTAAACCCGTACAATAAAATAAGGAGACAACTGAGAGGTGAGATGCACAGGTGGAGAATGCTTTATACTTCCCCTGAGCTGATGTCATTCCTTGTATGGAGGAAACTATCTTAGAATAAGAGTAAAAGATGCCAGTGAGGGGACCTCCACCCAGCAGTAGAGCTACAAAATACATCACCATGTTATTGAGAAAGGTGTCAGAACAGGCAAGTTGGATCATCTGATTGAGTTCACAGAAAAAGTGGGGGATTTCTAAGACTGTGCAGAAAGCCAGATGCAACACCATTAAACTTTCTAACAAGGAATGCAGGACGCTGATGAGCCAGGACACCAGCACCAACAGTCCGCAGAGCAGGGGGTTCATGAGGACCGTGTAGTGCAGGGGGTGACAGATGGCCACGAAGCGGTCATAGGCCATCACAGTCAGCAGTAAAATGTCTAGTACTACAAAAAGTGTGAAAAAATACACCTGGGTGATGCAGCCTTCAAATGTTATAACTTTGCTCTGAGTCTCAATATTCCATAGCATCTTTGGGATGGTGGTGGAGGTGAAGCAGATGTCTACAAAGGACAGGTTGGAGAGGAAGAAGTACATGGGGGTGTGGAGGTGGGAGTCTGAGCTGACGGCCAGGATGATGAGCAGGTTTCCGAACACACTAATCAAGTACATGGTGAGGAAAAACCCAAATATGAGAGGCTGCCATTCTGGTTCCTCTGAAAATCCCAGAAGACGAAATTCGGAAACCCTCGTTAGGTTTTTTGGTTCCATTTGATGAAGGTGACTGCCAGGAAAGCAGCAAAGTAACATGACTAATTTTCTCACAAATGGGCAGTACTCACATGGGTGAATTGTTGTCTTTTGTATTTTGCCATCCTAAAATGTTTTAAGAAAACAAGGGTTTTAGAAATTATCACTGGTATTTATGCTCACCAATCTATAAAATGACTCCCCCCGTGGCTCAGATGGTAAAGCATCTGCCTACAATGTGGGAGACCTGGGTTCAATCCCTGGGTAGGGAAGATCTCCTGGAGAAGGAAATGGCAATCCTATCCAGTACTCTTGCCTGGAAAATCCTATGGACAGAGGAGCCTCGTAGGCTACAGTCCGTGGGATCACAAAGAGTCAGACATGACTGAGTGACTTCACTTTCACTATAAAGATATTAACTTCAAAATTTTGTTCATAGATTTTGTGCCCTTTGGGGAACGACTTGAGTCATCTCTAACCAGCAAAGTTGTTTTTTCATCAACTAGTGAAACACAAACTAGTGTTTTTACCAAGATGTCATGCATTCGACTTTTAATGAAAAATTCGTTCATGCATCTTAAAAATATAAATTGAATAGTGACAAAGTCTCAATATTGTCATTGTCATGCAGGGTGCTGAAAACAAAAGCTCCTAAGATCCCATTTTTATGACAGAATATAAGCCAACAAAAATTATATAGCGTGTCAGATGGTGGCAAGTGGTATGAACAACAACAACAAAAAGAGGTATGATGTAGAAAGTCAAAAGGGAGTATGAGTTTCCATGTATATTTAGGTAAGGCCTGTGAACAAGGTGATATTTGAACAGAGACCTTAAGGATGGGAGATCGAGGGCCATGAGCATACCTGGGGCAGTGCATCTTGGCAAGGCAGCAGCTAATTTGAAGGTCCTGAGGAAGGTGCTTAAGATGCTTCAGTCCGGAAAAGGAAGCCAGTCTGGTGAGGGACATAAGCAGGGGGGAGAGTGAGGAGAGATGGTGTCAGATGATGTTGAGGAACAAGGTGGTCTCCTTCCTGCTGCTGAAACTTCAAGTCACAAGGGGTCCTTCATCCACATTTTCTACCTTCTTCACTTTGTGAAATTCAATATTAATAAAGCCATATGAGAGACAAGTGATGGAAAATCCAAAACCAATTTCTAAAGAAAAGGTTATGATAGTTATAACTTATATCACTAATTCAATTTTTTATAACAAAAGACATTGAAAGAGATAATATAACAGCAAGTTGTTATAATATGAAATGGAAGCACTGTCTGAGTTAGAATTTCTTCTTACATAGAAACATATGGATTCCAATATGCATGTGGAAGAAAAGGGTGACATTTATTCAAATGCAAAGAAGAGAAGCTTTCAAATAGAGGCTGAACATGATGCAACTTTTAGAATAGATTTAGAATGAAAGGGCCATGAGGAATAAGAGACGTGGAAGTAGTTCAAAATATGCAAAAGTGTGATGTATTTGCACCATGTATGAAGAAGAACATTCTTTTTCATCTTTGTTTAAGGCAAGGATTTGCAAGTGAAGAATATTTGAATGATGGCTCAATTCCTTCAGTTAAAAAATTTGGAGAGAGCATAAGATGACTGACACAGATTTTAGCACACAAAATTTAAAATTCTCAGAGATTCTGCACAAATAATTGTATACATTATGACATATCCAAGGGCAAACATCAATCTTGATAATAAAAATCCAATTCCTAATTTGAAAGCATATAATAATTAAAAAAATAAAAACAGGAGCAAAAATATGCTGAATTTCCTATGTGAAAGCAAAGAACTTGACTGGTCAGTTTTCAAAGGCGTCAGTAATGGGCTAAAGATTCTACCAGATCAAACCAGTCAATTATAGGAAATTAGTCGTGAATATTCATTGGAAAGAGTGAGACTGAAGCTGGAGCTCCACTACTTTGGCCACCTGATGTAAAGAGCTGACTCACTGGAAAAGACCCCTATGCTCGGAAAGATTGACGGCAAGAGAAGGGAACGACAGAGAATGAGATGGTTGGATGGCATCACAGACTTGATGGACATGATTTTGAGCAAGCTCTAGGAGTTGGTGATGGACTGGGAAGCCTAGCATGCTGCAGTGCATATGGTCACAAAGAGTCAGACACGACTGAGCAACTAAACTGAACTGAATGATTCAACACATATATTTAATACTATACATAATGAAATAATTGCAAGATAAACTCTTTGGCATACAATTTTGATGTAATTTTTTAAAATTTTAATATTAGAGGGATGAGATGGGGAGGGAGGCTGGAGGGGGGATCAGGATCCATGGCTGATTCATGTCAATGTATGGCAAAAACCACTACAATATTGTAAAGTATTTAGCTTCCAACTAATAAAAATAAATGAAAAAAAATAAATAAAAAGTCACACAAAAATAACAAAGAGAGAGAGTGTAGACACTGAAATGTATGCCTAATCAAGTGCTGTTTCAGGGGGAAAGTTTGCCAGCATTCTAGATCTGGGTCTTATTCATCATAGTTAAATATGCTTCTGCTAGAAAAATAAGCTACGTCACTCTACATCCCTCCACAGCTAATACCCTATAACTCTACTTCAGTTAATGACAGACGTACCTTGGACTTAGGTTCTACTTTGACTGAAAGCACTTTGCTCATCCCACTCCCTCTTCTAACTGGGCTTCTATGGCCATCATTTAATGGTCAACATTGACCCTTGCATTGTCACGCTCAGTACTCACTTCTTTTTTCAGCATCATGCAATAATATATTAATTTATCAGTCAAGACAACAAACAAACTCAGTGTTCATGGCTCTGGTTTAGTCTGCATTGGTTCTCATATCAACTGAGGTGAATATTCTTGGCTGCCATTCCCTTTGACTATATCTTGCAGTATTTACTAGGCTACTGGACTCACCTGGGTGGAGTTTCTGAGAGCAAAGTCTCAACATAGATGTCCCAACTCTTCTTGGATGGTTGATGATGGAGATAGAAACTCTATCTACAGATAAGACAGTAGGATGGAGTCAAACATTGGTCCCCCAGCTAGAGTTTTGACTCTGCAAGCATCAACCATGCCCCAATCTAGTCCAAGGTTGCACAGGCAGAGGGACTGCAGCACAGGAAATATTTATGGCTCTTTATGTCTGCTCATTAGCATGATTCCCTTTTGTAAACCACCACCTTTAATAACTGATTTCCCTGAGGGACACTGGTCTGGTCAGATAGGAAAAGTTTCCTGCTCATACTCTGTGTTTAGGTTATGGAGTATATAGTTTTACAATTTCTGCACACCAAATTGTCTTCACCTGAACTTTTGAATGAAAGTGTATGCATTCATTCCAGATGTGGAATCAACTTTAATTTTTTATGCAAGGACTCATGAATCACACCAAATAATATATATCTGAAAAAGTTTGAATTGGTATTTTCAAAGAAAATTGATATTTTCAAATACTTAAAATGATTTTTTTATTTTAAAATCAAGGCAAATTAAAAGGTATTAATAAACAGTATTATTGTTGTTTAGTTGTTAAGTCGTTTCTGACTGTTTGCAACCCCATGGACTGTAGCCTGCTAGACTCCTCTGTTCATGGGATTTCCCAGGCAAGAAAACTGGAGTGAGTTACTTCTATATTGTAAATTTATTGTCCATTTATTCCAATAATCTTGATAGGAATGTAAATTGGTGCAGCTACCATGTAAAAGAGTAGGGAGACTGCTCAAAAAATTAAGCATAAAATTACCTTATGATCCAGGTATCCCAATTTAAGTACTTATCCTAAAAATACAAAAACACAACTGTGAAAAGATATATGCAGCCCTCAGTCCATCACAACATTATTTTCAGCAGCCAAATATGGAAACAACCTAAGTGGCCATCAATGAATGAATGGATAAAGAAGAAGGCATATATGTATGTAAAATGTAATGCTACACAGTGATACAAAATTGATGGAATCTTGAAGGAGGAGACTAAGATGGAAGAGTAAGAGGATAGGAAGCCCACCTTGCCCACAAACACATCAAAAGTAATCTACACGTGACATATGCACACAACTGAGTTTAAAATAGGTAACTAATAAAGACCTACTGTACAGCAGAAGGAACTCTATTCAATACTCTGCAATGGCTTACATGGGAAAAGAAGCTAAAAAGAGCAGATATACCTACATGTATCACAGATTCACTTATCTGTACCCCTGAAACTAACCCAACAATGTAAACAAGTTATACCACAGTGAAAAGTTTAAGTAGTTGCAGAAATAAAAACATGTGAGAAAGTTCAACATCCATTCATGATATAACAATCCTCATCAAAGTGGGTATAGAAGGAACATACTTCAACAAAATAATGGCATCTACGACATAAACACAACCAACCTCATATTCTACAGTGAAAAGTTGAAAGTACTTCCTATAATTTAGGAACAAGACAAGGATGTCTACTCTCTCTACTCCCAATATTCACTCTTAATACTTCAAAATACTTACAACATTTCCCACAGAAGTAGAATTAATATTCCTAAAATTCCGGGCTTCCCTGGTGGTGCAGATGGTAAAGAATCAGCCTGCAATCATGACTCCAGGCCAGTATTGCAGGTCCATCAACCCGTGGGTCAGGAATATCCTCTGGGGAAGGGAATGACTACCCACTCCAGTGTTCATGCCTAGGGAGCCCCATGCATAGAGGAGCCCTGGCAGGCTACAGTCCATGGGGTTGCAAAACGATGGACATGACTGAGGGACTGACACATGTTCATGCCTAAAATTCATATGGAACCACAAAAGAACCTGAATAGCCAAAGCAACTGCAAACAAAATCAACCAACCAACCAAACAACACCCGCTCCCATGACAACAAAGCTGGGCTTATCATTCTCCTAAACTTCAGACTATACTACAAAGCTACAGTCATCAAAATGGCATGGTACAGTCACAAACAATCAATGGAGCAGCATAGAGAGCCAAGAAATAAACCACACACTTATGGCCAATTAATCCATGACAAAGAAGGTAA